TTTATCAAGTCAGAAGTTTTACTGGAAACTAATCGAAAATACAACATTTTTTACTAATAAATGTGTAAACAAATATAGCAAACGAGTTCCTGGGTATGTACTCGTATATTGCATATATGCGAAAAACCTAATTTTGAACCTGAGTATAGATTTGCAATTATTCCATGTGCATATGTACCTACCTATCATTGCAGCATTTAAATGCTTTCATAAATAAGAAAGTTCGCACTGCTCATGCGCAAAACCAAATAAACTGGCGTTATGTTTGCCTTTATTCCAAGTTCCCCCTCTATCAAATTTCATAAATAAAAAGGTTTGCAATACGGCTAATAAATGGTCGAAATGCGAAAAGGGCACTGTGAATGTTGAATTGATTATAGTCAACTTTTGGCATTGCGTATTATACTTGGTAAATCTGTGCGCATATTGAATTCCATGCAATTCGGTTCATAAGTAACAAGCAAGCGCCTCGTGGTGTAATCTTGGTGCTCAGGCAATAATACTGGACTTCTCTACCTTGATTTATAATGTACTATTATCTACAATTCAATATCACCCCATTTTGAGTATAGATAATAACATGGATTAATACACTCCTATACGCCCAATCAGCTTGTTTCAAATTCTAACCAATCAGATGATTTTTTCAGTGATTAAAAGCTAGGTCACTTTTTATCAGCGATTAAACACTACGTAGCTTTTTATCAGCGATAAAAATGCGCGTAGGAATGCATAAGATATAGACCACGAGCCACCAATATGAAACCCCCCCCCCCCCCCCCCCTCCTGTGGGAATTTATGACTTATACTTTTTTTGTTGGTGTTACCTACCAGATTAATTCAATTCATCAATTCAATTGTTAGCCCTTTTTAAATTACAGCATATTCGGGGAAATTAAGAAATACTGAAAAATGTAAAAAAGAAATGAATTTTTTATTTTGTTTAATTTTAAACTACAAAAGGGTAAGTACATTTAATTACCATATTTTTTTATGACCTTATTTCATCAGTTCCATGAAAATGAAATTGTTTTTTTAAAAAATCTCAACTAACAACATATGATTTTATAGTATCATTTGTAATGAACTGTCATTTTCTTCATCCTCGTGTATTAAGTCGTCTAAGTTTAGTACTTCTGGTTCATCTTCATCTTATCCATTTCAAAGCTTTCTGGAACGTCAAGCAGTTCGGTAGTAGGCAACGGATCTCCTTTAATCCAATCAAACTTAAGCTCACCATTCTCCAACATCCACCCATGTCCTACTGGGGGTGGTGTGGAGGGTTTAGCTACATGTGCGTTATTCCATACGTAACATTGGTAGTTGACACGTTTTATGTGGTTTTCTAATGACGTTTTGCATGGGGGAAGTAGACTTAAATCTACACCTTTATTATTGGGCAGAGAAAATGCAGTTGTGGGAGAATACTTTTGTGAAAACAAATCAAACCGTAGTTTGTTTATATCTGTGTATTCCTTATTACTGTACAAGCAACAGACGAATTCCTCCAGGCCGTGTCTGTAAATGTCGGTGATGCTCCTAATGATGTAAGGATAGGTGTTTCAATGTGCGAGGCGAAACCGAGCAATGTGTCACGGTACTATACATTCAAAATTTTCAAAAAAGTAACTATTATATAGGTAATATTCCCAAGAAGTAAGAATGCACCCCTCAAAAATTCTAAAACGTTGCCGATTCGATCTACCGACATGTCGGGCGTTGCAATTTATCGCAAAGAACACGTTACAGAAGGTTTCGTCGAAATCGAAAAAATTCAAAACGAGAAAATTTCCATACTATACCCTTCCTTCGATTAAAATCGAAAAAAAATTGTCAAAAATCGTTCGCTTTTTCGATGTCATCTTATACATTTGGGCACGAGGATTGCAAAAATGGAAACAAAATCTCATAAAACATTACGGTTCCGGCGATAGGGGGAGCGCTTCGTTTGTCGAATTTTTCAAAGTTTTACAAAAAAATTAATAATTTCGCCAATATTCGAGGTATGCAAACGGTTGATACGGCGATCGAAAGAGAAAGGATGCATCGTACGACACTTTCACCGCCCGCAAAAATTCAAAAGGGTCTACGAGAGAGGGCGCCAAAGGGAAAATTAAAATGCTAGTAGAAATGGGCGCAAAATGGGCACTTGGCGGTGAAATCTTGGTACTTTTTGTTACTAAACGATTACTTTAGAGACGGGTCTGATCTATATGCTTACCATCCCCACGGTACGGTCGTAAGTGCGTTAAATCAAAATCGATATGAAAAAGCTAATTTTCGAAGAAATTATGATCCCAAATTTATTATTTTTGTTTTTCGTTAAAAACGACGTTAAGATTAAGTGAGTGCGAAAGTTTGGCGGAGATTTGAGGTCCCATCCTACATTTAATATTTGGTAGTTTTCATGATTTTTTCGTGTTTTTCCGGGATATGTTGTAATTCGCATGTGGCAAACACCTAAAACCTCAAAATACATGTCAATACAAACAAAAAAATGTATGTGCTCAAAAATTCCCACGGGGGGGGGGGGGGGTACATCTCAGCCTCCGCTCTAACACTTATGTATAAAGTGGTTGTGAAATTTACTGTCTTTTATTAATCTCCCTAAAATACACTCGATCTTGGTTTTAAATCAGGATAATTTTATTTTTAATTCACTTAAATTTTGTTGCTTCCTGGAAAAAACTCTGGATCTCTAGTTTTTTCCGTGTAAAATTAAAATTATCCGATTTAAAATCAAGCTTTTGTGTATTTACCCCCGATATATCCCTTTCATTCTGTTTATCGCGCTTTCGTTTAACCTCTGTCAACTGCCCGATGTCTTTTCTTTTCTTCAGCAGTAGTTTCAACTATTGCTTTCTTTCACACATTCTTCAAGCCTCTTGTTGTTTTTGATTCGATTATCGTTATTTTCCGTACTAGCCACTCGGTATTTGATACCTGAAGGATTTTGGTGTCGATGGCTGCAACCGCTATGTTATAGGTATGCACATCAGAGTTGTATATAGTAAATAGAGGATCAGTACCTACATAGGACCTGCACGTGGAAAAATAACTCTAACTACAGTGGCCACATTACTTATAGAGTTGCAACGGCCCGGCCGTTATGACACATGCGTGGTGCGTGAAAAGCGAATCAGCTGATTTACTTTGCTCGCAGCTACGTTGTTGATTCGTCACTATGTCTCCATCTGGTTAGTGCGCACACTCGCCTACGGCCTGCGCAAGATTTAATTGGGGTCAATTATCCACAACAACACTGTTTCTCTATTTACTATATATACAACTCTGTGGTTATATGACGTCGTATCATTGGCGATATTGAAAATGTTGAACTACCCCTCGAGTTGGTGGAACCACAGGTTGGGGTCGTTATTCCAAAACGGTGGCGATTTCACTGCTACGCGGCTACGAATGTTTGCTGCATTCAGCATCTTGGAAACGGCTTCCATATCGATGTTAGCTGGCTGAAACCGCGAACGTGGTTCTCGTTCTATTTTATTATGCAAGCGTAAACTGGACTATGTTCGCGTACTGAAAGTACGGTTTTACAACATTGATTAATGGCCGTTTGCACCGACAAATTTAAGCGGAGCTTAGCTTAAGCGTCCCTTAAAATCCATGCCAACCATTGTCTCAATAATCGTGGCCATGGATTTTAAGCTACGCTTAAGCTAAGCTCGGCTTAAATTCGTCGGTGCAAACGGCCATTAGTGTGTATAGTCACTGCCGAAGTGCACGCGGCGAGCGCTGTCGTAGGAGTGACTGAGTGCGGATGCGGGTCTTTTGGCTGGTGGAGCGTGGCGCGACGTCGAGTTGGCAAAGCGAACTGGTTCTGCAGGCGGTGAGCTGGTTATTTTTTGAAGCGCCGTCGAAGCAGGAATAGCGTTTGCAGAGTTCAGAGCTCTGCTTTTAAACCTTTGCGACCAGGGACGCTTTACTTTCATCCTCGCTTTCATGGGTTGGCTGTTTTGACCAATCAGAGTGCAGCACGTTTTAGTTTGCTGTCGGATGTGCATGCGGCGCGTCACCACACACACCATTTTTTAAGTGACATAATCATTTATTTATAATGCTTTTATTGGTATGAAAAATACAAAACGGTATTATTAAGAGATGCTTAATTTACTTAATGGAATCTCTTAGGAACAATATGTTACATAGCACTTTACTGTACAACTATCCCGAAAACAAGGAGGCAAATTCAGTTTAATCTGCCGGGAAATTAGACGATACTGAAATTTTAATGCTGCCACAGTACAGTTTTCATCCGAACATTGCACTTCTAGAGTGATTAGGCAATCTTTGATTAGTATACAATCCATGTGTAGCTTAAATAAAATGGAATCGTTGTCAATAAATTCAAACAAGGTAATAACAACTTCATCTTCAACAATTGTATAGCGCCAGACCCGAGTGTTATTACTTTTCTTAAGACTTACACTTATTACATCTGAAAAATAGCACCCCTTATGCACACTCTCGTAATGTTCTTTCACTTTACCATGTAAATACGTTTTTTTCTTACGGATGAGGTTGCAAAATTTACAAGTACAGGTATTAAATATACAGTGAAATTCATGATGAAGTATAGAGTCACCCTTAACTACTTTACCACAGTGTGTGTACTCCACAGAGTTGTATATTTACTTATATACAACTCTGTGGTGTACTCGCACAGATAATTTTCTTCGGCCAGCAAACGTGCAATATTAGAGTTAAATGATACCAATTGGCAATCACTTTGTCTATTAGACGATAAATAACAAGTATGGCAGATGAATTGGTCATCTAATTCAAAAATGGGCAACTTTAAACTTTTGTCGCAAGAACATTTAAGAAATGGTAAAATTTTAGACTGTATCAGATTAGTGTCGTTGTTGTCACTTTGCATTTCTACAGTTAAAGATATTGACAAAGATGTAGAATTGTTTAGCAACCGCCTTATCTCATGTAAGTTAACAATTTCCTTTGGAACGCATAATCAATTAATAAGCAACTATTTAAAGAAACGCACTCATGGCCTGTTAACTGTAAAACATTGTCTCGATTGGAACTGTTCTCTAGTTTGATTTTTGAGTTTAGTTCTAGATCAAATGTGACAATGATATACTTAAAGGTACCAATTGCCGAATCATACATGTAATTAACCAGGAAGAAGCACTCGCCATTTAACACCATAAAAGCATCTTCTGCATCTTGATCCACATGAATGTCAAAGGTAGCACTTTTTAAAATTGACAAACGGTGCTCTTGGGTAAGGTGTTCACGCATTTCTTTAAATTTACCATTCCACTGACATTTAAATTTGTTATGCAATGGACAAGGAACAGGATTATAGTTACACTTGTTGATGTGCTCTTCTTTGTTGAATTTATATGTTACAGTACAACCGTCACCGCTATTCTTGCATGGAAAATGCACATTCGCCAATATCTTTTCTAAAGTAGCGTTTCGATAGGGTTTAAGGCAGTTCCCTTGCGAGCAGCTGTTGCATATATCTCTGCCGTCTTCAAGAAGATAAATTGGAGCAGTTGATAGGTATTGCTTACATATGGTACAAAGAAAGTCTTTAGGAACTAATTCAACACCAGATTTCAACATTTTCGTTATTGTTGTTAAAGGTTCTAACCATATATATAATGGTTCTAACTCTCCCAATGGGCAATCACACAACATTCAAACACAGAATAGATAATAGATATACAGGGTATTGCTCACAACGCGTAATCTGAATCACTAAAGTCACTTCTATATCTAGTGACTACTAAATCACGAATTGGAAACCCATGTAATGTGTTTGATCATAGACGTATTAACCAAATTGTCTTGCTAATATCCTCCTGGTAACCATAAACAAGCATTTTTAGTTGCCTACACTAAGGGCCGGTTGCACAAAAGCAGTTTAAACCTCGTTTAGATTAACGCAATGGATTAAGACATTTGATTAGTTGAAATTTGACAGAACGTCAAATATCAACCAATCGTAGACCTTAATCCACTGGTTAATTCCAAGTGAGGTGCCTTTGTGCAACTGGCCCTAAGTAGCGTTAGAAAATTAGAATATAAGTAAATAGCTAAATGAAGAAAAAGATAGTTAATCGTTCGACCAGGTCACCAAAGTATCCTCATGGTTATGAAATTTATTTTCCCCCAACTGTGAAAGAGGCTGTCACATCAGAAAATTCTGAGCAGTGGCGTGAGGAAAAAGAATAAAGAAATTTCGTAATTAAAAGAAAACAAGATCTGGAAAATCGAACCTGTTTGCTATGTGGGGCCGTTGTGCGTCGAGTCGACTGCCGCGTAGTATCAAAAGTCATCACTGGCGGCGCATGCGTCGAGGAATGTTCTCTGACCAGGCCCTTGTCACAAGGGACAATTCACAATTGTCATTACTGACTTGTAAACACAAGGAGTACCCCTGCGTGCCGTTTGGAACCTTTACGCAAAAAAAACGCTGCTTTGTGAAAAATACCAAAAAACTTGTGTTTCTGAGATCCCAATGGTAAACCTCAAATTTGGCACACCCTGTACACCATCAAATGAAACCAAAAATACAATTTATTGTAATAGTGTGTAAAATCGTTTATTTTTATAGGACACATGCACATAACCGACTTCAATATAGCTACGTTTGTTAAGGATGGACAATTAGCTTCATCCATGTCGGGCACCAAACCATACATAGCACCAGAGGTTTTCGACTGCGCTGTGGATTTGTGTGTTGGATACTCCTACGCGGTAGATTGGTGGTCATTAGGTAGGTAACACAGAGAGATATAGAACCGTCAGGCAGCGTTTCACTGTCACTGGTTTACCGCCAGACCAGTAACATGCAGGTTGCTCTAATGAGCGTCTAACTCCAAAGACGTCTCTGAGACAAATTTACCACTGTGCTCTTACCGCTGTACCCATTTTTGCTTACTTAGACTGCGCGTCGCGTCGTCGTTATTTTGCGCATGACGTCAATGAAAATGCGTTGCTTCCCAGATTGTTTATACCTATTGCTTTTTACACTAAATACGACGACTGATTAATTGACGCCACCTACAGAGCTTTTTAAAAAAGTCAATTCCTGAACGGGCTCCCGTTACAATGCTTTTGCTTTGAAGTACACCTTTCTATGTTGAATTGTTTCAACACATACCAAAACAGTTTGTTATTCCATAATTACACTTTTTAAAACAAAATTCAATCTTTTCACAACCTACTTTAATAAGCCTCTTATTTGCATGTTGCCAAAGGGACCTTCTGGTTCTGGCCCGAATTTTTCTTCGAAAAGTGCACGCAAGTTACTCACACATCCCTTATGCAGTATTTATAGAGGCCTCTTAAGTTTACATATATTGTGTTTTCTGCTATCTCAACACTTAGCAGCTTATTCTTCACTAACTGCAATACTTGAAGCCCATTTTTAAGTAGGTAAGCATGATCATATTTTCCAGTTTTCCTTGGGCTCCAATTAGAAATATATCCATATTTACAGTGCCCAGAAATAACGCCCGTTTATTCACCATCCTGCTGACTGCTAATGACCTACTCGAACGAGATCGTCGCCGTCACACCATGCTAGAGGACTACACAATGTTGCCGAGTATAGTCTCTCAATTTTTTTATTAACCCTTGCCAATTCAACGGGGGGGGGGGGGGCGCAATTGCTTGAGTGAATTTAAATGAAGTTCGAGAAACGCTGCCGTAAAACATTTTATATTATATTTTTACTTAACTACTACTTTTTAGGTGTTGTTGCATACGAAATGCTCCGAGGACGACGACCATTTGACATACACTCAAACACGTCTATTCAAGAAGTGAGGGCACTATTTCAAAACGGAGTAAATTACCCTTCTTCTTGGAAAGACGAAATGATCGACCTTCTCTCAAAAGTTCGTTTGTTGGCATAAAATGAAAGGAGAACAACTAATCATTGTGTTTTAGCTGCTGTGCGTCAGACCTGGGGAGCGTGTTTCAACAATTCAAGAATTAAAACAGATAAAGTGCCTAGACCAATATGACATGGAATTAGTTTTCCAAAGAAAATATCAGCCTTTCTTTGCCCCACCAGTAAATATGACTGCATATTTCAACAAAATTGTAATAATCCGTACGTTTGCTTTTTAGAGAGATCACTTAAATTGTGATCCCACGTTTGAACTTGAAGAAATGATTATAGAAACGAAACCGCTGCATAAAAAGAAAAAGCGATTAGCTAAGCAAAGGTCGATAAGGGAAACGCACCAGGCGGAAGTGGTAGGTACATTTTCAGTAGCATGGTTTGATTAGGTACTAACAAAGATCTTTAGGAGGCAGACTGTCCCATAGAGCTGCACCAAACGATCATACCCGAGTTCAAAATCTACAACAGATACCAGGAGCTGGCTAGGCGCGAAAAAGAACGCAAGGAATTAGCATGGGAAAAGGAACTTCAGCTAGCAATGGAAGCTTCCGATCCACTATCACCCGTAACCAAAGACAACTATACTTGTAGTAGCTGTCCAAAGTCACGCAGTGTAGACGACAGCTGTTCCTCAATTCTAAAAAGTGTCAAAATTTACCATAAAACACCTTGCATATTAGAAACCAAGGAATTTTTAGATGATACTATAATTGAAGAATCTAGTCAATTAGTAAACCAAACCAGTGATAATCAAAGCGCTACAAGTTTTCAGAAGGAAAAAGTTTGTGATATTCAGAATAAATTACAAAATTTTGAATTTATAGATAGATCCCCATCACCTGTAGATCGTAAAGATACTTGATAATTTTCTACTTTTCTCATGTAGGTAATAAGTATAGTATAATGTTAAAGGACCATTTTATCACTTAATAAATATTTTTCCTAGTGTCATTTATTTAAACCTTAAGTCTGCGGTTTCCACTTTTCCAGCAATTAAATGGTAGGTATACCTACCTATGCTAATTTATATTTAAATTTTCTCAGACGATTTCGAGGTACCTACCATTATTAAAAGGCAATGCGAATCCCTTTAGAATAAATATCACCCAAACAACCTTTCCATTTAAAATTTGTAAGGAAAAATTCTATACTAGACAATACCTAAAGATTATGCATTCATTTAAGAATCACAGACAACTATACATCCACGGATTATCGTCGATGAACACCCGATCCCAATAATAAAGCAAGCAACCCCGTCCCGTACCGTGCATGGCACAGCCAATATTCCCACTATCTGACAGCGTTTAATGGAGACGGTGATGCAGGACCTCTCCAATGTAGTGAGCTTCTTTGCAGACAATTTCGAAAACCCATGCAGACTTTCGCCGCAACATTGTATCTCGTTTTGATTGGTCGTTGGCTCCGGTCGCCATATTAGAGCTAAATTTTTCAAACTGGCCAATAGAAAAATCTCCCAAATGACGCGTACACTCCGTGCTATAATTATCTTAGTAGTATGTAAACCTTTGATGTAATTCCAGAGACTTGTTATAACTAGACCGCGCGTAACGTACATTTTACTATAAACGCCTGTTGTCAAGATAGGATAGGCAACCAACTGTTCATCGCGGGGCAGACGTACGTTCTGCAGCTTGCTTTAGCATATGTTTATTCTAAATTTTATTTTAGTAGCAAAAAAAGATAACATATAACTGTTAACTGTTTTAATCGAATTTATTGGTATTTTATTTGTACTAAATTGGTATATAACTGCCTTACTCTGGTCCTAATTCGATTTATATGTGTATTTTGGTGGTGAACACGCATGGGAAAATATACTCTTAAAACTAAAGATGTAAGTAGTAAGATATGATTATTTAGCGGATTTTGATTCAATATATGCCTATCCAAAAACCCAAATGGGCTGTAACTGTTATTTATTTTTCTTAGACTGCTGATAACCATTTTGTTTACAACGCGGTGTGGTGTGGATTGAATGAAAAACCTGAACACATTTTCAGCAATTTGGCAAATTTTTAATTCATCGCTTGATACGTGCAACAATCCTCCACGATTTTTTTCTAGTTAAAAGCTTTGAATGACTCTCTGATGCGAATATCGCATCTGCACATATGGAACATTTAACAGATTATGTTATCAAAAATCTCTAAACCTTCCCCATATAGTTAACTATATAATATAACTATATGGGGAAGGTTTAGAGATTTTTGATAACATAATATATTTCAACCCCCATTTCGAGGAACGATGGATCCAACTCAAAACATTTAACAGACTTATAGCTATTTTTCTTGTAACAAAACCTGAAATATACTTAGTACCAGTAAGTATTTAGTTACGTCTATACCTAATAGGCAAATAGGTACTGCCGTTATCTGGTAAAGGATGTCGAATAATAGTAATTCTACGTTATTTTAAGTGAATGGGAAAGTCGAAAACGCTCGGTATTGCGTTATTGTTTAACACCTTCGTAGGTACCTGTCTAAAATAGGCTTCATTCCCCGCAAATGCACTATGGTGGGAGTAAATTTTTCTCTTCGAATGGCTCTGATCCATTGGCCCTTTAAACTTTTATCCGTTGGAAATCTGCATATTATTTAAAATTCTATCTCCAGAGTACATGTTGATACGCACGAGTTAACCTAAGTTTATTGGTTTATTCTCAACAGAAATTTATCTGTTCACTAATTCGAGCTAATCACGAGAATAATTAAAGAACGGAACATCTAAAATAACAGCTTATTTCATTATATTGCACATCATCTCTGCGATTTTTGCCCCGCGGTGCATTGTGTGTTGCATACTGTGTCGACAACACCTTAGATACGTTAAGCGCAGTCTAGTTATAGCAAGTCTCTGTAAAAATAAACTTAAAATCATAGTAAGAAAGATGAATCTTTGTAGGATCGTTTATTAGCCTATGTATAAATGAAAAAAAAAATAGTCAGCTGACTGCACCGCGGTGGATTATACGTCAGCTGATTGGATAAACATGTAAAAAAAAACGTTAGATAAAATTAAAGTAAGAAAGCTGAATTTTGGCGAAATAATAGTTTACTACATCAGTTTTGAGAAAAAAATACTCCGCTGCAATTTCCATGGTGGGAAAGTCATCAGCTGGTTCACGAAAGATGATATGCGCCCGTATTTTGTGGCCGTCAGCTGATGATTTTTCCACCGCGGAAACTCCAGCGGACTATTTTTTTTATAAAAGTGATATAGTAAACTATTGTTGTAACAAATTATAACTTTGTTAATTTGATTCTTGCTTTTTTAGAGCGAGTTGGATGCTGCATTTATGAAAATTAGCTTGATATCGATTGAAATTTCTTTTTTTTTACTTTTTAAATACTTTATTTTAATATATGAATGCAGGATTCTGTCAAGTAATATAAACTTACTACAATCAAAGTAAACAATCGATACTTACGTAAAGGTGAGTAAATGTTTTGAAATTAATTATTTAATGTATTTATATTGAGTTGATTTTTTATAGGGGCGTTTTTTTATGCGTTTTAAAATAAATTTACAAAAAATATAAACAGATAATTTACATTTATACATCTTCGTCTTCTTCATTACTTTGAACTATAACCTCCTCACTGAAACGTGTAGAGACGCTCAGCAGCAACTGTTGTGCTATTATATAATGTCACAGAATTTCTGAGTATTCATACAAATAAAAAAAAAGTAAATAATAAAAAGTGTTCAATCGATAATTGCCGAATCGAGCTAATTTTCATAAATACAGCACGAAACTCGCTCTAAAAAAGCAAGAATCAAATTAACAAAGTTGTAATTTGTTACAACAATAGTTTACTGTATCAGTTTTATAAAAAAAATAGTCCGCTGAAGTTTCCGCGGTGGAAAAGTCATCAGCTGACCGCCACAAAATACTGGCGCATATCATCTTTCGTGAACCAGCTGATGACTTTCCCACCATGGAAATTGCAGCGGAGTATTTTTTTCTCAAAACTGATGTAGTAAACTGTTATTTCACCAAAATTCAGCTTTCTTACTTTAATTTTATCTAACGTTTTTTTTTACATGTTTATCCAATCAGCTGACGTATAATCCACCGCGGTGCAGTCAGCTGACTATTTTTTTTCATTTATACATAGGCTAATAAACGATCCTACAAAGATTCATCTTTCTTACTATGATTTTAAGTTTATTTTTATTATACATGCGTGGGTGGCTGCTGCGGCTACCCCCACCACAAATGCGCCAGCTGATGTTTATTTTATTAATCAGCACATCTAAATAGTCGACAGAAAAAATTTCCAGCTTTCTTCCAATTGGTCGCCAAAACTGCCAACTGGCTCCCGGACTATTAC